TTCTTATAAGCCCAAATTCACCCTAACCTACCTTTTTTTTTTGAATAGCAAAAATATTTCATTAATTAAAAGTCATACGACATCTACAATATAGATTCGACGTTAACAAATATATAAGATATTGAATCAAATAAAATTTTCCTTCATAAAAACTACGATCGTCGAGTAGATCTTGCACTATGGAACATCTCCCGCTTATATCGCTGGAAAATACAGCTTTGTTGGAGAGAGAATCTAACGATCCTTTGTAGTCGTGAGGATGTTTTTCTTTTGATTCATCTGTCTGCATTCGAAAACTTAATAACTTTTTCACCAACAAAATAATTTCACGACAATCCATTAGATCTAATATCATGGATTCAAAACTAAGAAATTTCTTCCCCGAAAAGAGGAGATAAACCTTGTCTTTCGAAGAAGGTCATAAAACCATTGTCTTTCGAAGGAGGTCGGAAACCCTTTCTTTCGAGGGAGAAAAGTTTCTCCCAAAAGGAGGAAGCATTATTAGAAAACCTAAAAAAGATTTAAAGAAACTAGAATTGGGGCTTTCCACCGGTTAAAACCGATGGAAGCCCCTTTAAAATTTAACAATGGAGGATAGGGTTTTGGAGAGAGGAAGGAGGAGAGAGGAGATAGGAGAGAGATATGATTCACCCCCCCCAAACCTACTTTACACTATAAATACACCTTAATTCCCCAAAATTTCCTACACAAAAAGTCAAATGATCAAGGTAATTATTTTTTCTTCCTTAATTTCCTTTCCTTTTTTTTTCTTACGCCTTTTTTGGTGCAAGGGATTTGGATGGAAAAGAAAAGAAAGGAAAGAGTTTTAATCATGTTCTCGTGTTTGGTTGAATAAATGATATGAGAATTCAAGGGAAGGGAAGTGGGAGCGAAGTTCCTTAATTTACAAATTTTTAGCTTTCCTTCCCTCTCAAAATTGGAGGAATTCAACCTGAAAACGAAAAATAAAAGTTATCCATTATAAATTTTAATTCTCTTTCCTTCATTTCCTTTCATTATTAACCAAATATTGGAAAATTAAAACACCTTCCTTTCTCTTCTTTTCTTTTCTCCTCGACTCCTCTCTTCCTTTCTCTTTTTTTTTTTCCTTTACTAATATTGAACCAAAAAAGCCTTATTTTTCTTTTCCTTCCTCCTATTTTCTTTTTTACGTAAGATTTTATGGGGAACAACCCCTGCTTGCTGCCACTCCCGGCCCCTAGCTGTCACCTGTCGAACTCCCGCTGACGGCCGACCACCCACCTTGCTGACAACCTTCCTCATCTTTCTCTTCTTTTTACTTTGATTAGTTTGATGGTTTTATTTATGGGGTTTTGATTTTTAATTGTTCAAAATATATTTAATTAGTATCGAAGTGATGTTTTAATGAATTAAAAGTATAATTTCAGATTTTAGTATTGGTTAATTGTCAAATTTTCAAAGATTATGAAGTTAAGGTTTTAGTTTATTAAAGATGTGATTTTTAGGGTTCTTTTGTGAATTAATTTGGACTTATATATATACCCAATGATTATGTTGATTATTTAATTATAAAGATGTAATTTTGATGAAGTTATAATGGTTTTTTGATTAAACAATAATGCTGAAAATTTGTCTTAAGTACTATTTTTATGTGTTATGAAAAAAGGGGATAACCCATTCAAGAGAGATTAATTAGGGTTTAAAAATAATTTTCACATCATTATAAGTTGTTTAAAATGAGTTTAGGTTGTTAAAAATTGTGTATACGAGGGTAATTAATGTAGTTTTTTTGTCCCTCGTGTGTATCAAACTTTGTTCGAGAAGTGTTCTAGTGTTTACGGTTAACGTAAGAGTTTATTCGAGGTACATATGCGTACCAATATTTATGAAGTGTGTAGAATCATGCTAGGATTTACTTTGATTAATTTCAAGTTAGTATCGTACTACAAATTGGTTGGAATTATTGTATTGGATTAGTTTTGTGGAGTTGAATTAGATTTGATGATTGGTTTAAGAGGCATGATATTTGAAATGAATTATTGTTGGAATTGGTGAAGTTTGAATATTGAATATGGAGCACACTTTTATTGTTGGCATATTAAGAGCATGTTAAATTAAACTAAATGTTTAATGAGTTTAGAATATTCAAATGAAATTTTATTATGGTTCATATTAATTTTATGGATGTTTTAAGCATGGGAAATTGAGGTACTTAAGTGTCTTAGTACACGAGGATTAATTTATATTTCGGTGCCTAAGTGCACTTAAGGTGTTTATATATTGAGAGATAAGATTTGTGGTGTGTGTGTCTATGTGCATGAAGGTGTTTCTACACCGAGGTAGTTTAAAAAAACGTTCAACATTAAATAAAATAGGGTCACTAAGCTAATTATTCAAGAATTAAATTAGAATGTTTGATTGCTTGAATGATTCATGTTGGTTGAATATTTAATTGGTTGGGAGTCATAACCAAATCTAAAATATGTAAATAACGTAAAGTGAAAGAGGTTACGCACCAAAACTCTTGAAATGTATGCACCCAGAATATGAACATATGAAGGGAGTTGTATGACTTTATATTTTATCATAACTTCTATTGGGAGTACGGGACAATGTACTTTCCTTTTTACTATGCGCAGGAATTCTGCCATCTTCGAGGGGTTTATTTTATACTAGCACGATTAGCTCCAGTGTTAGTACCCCTTTAACGGGGAAGGTTTGGGGAGGGAAACTCGTTCAATGTGTCTCATGATTTGTGTTAATTGTTGTGTGTTGAACTCAGAGCTAATGATAAGTTGAATAATGCTAGGTCGTATGCATGTTAGTGTATTTCATTTACGCTTATATACTTAGCACTGCTGATTGTTGTGTGTGTTTAGCCTTGTCTTTATCTTGGCCCTACGACGACCCATTTCTTATGGCGAGTAATGGAGACAAAATAAAGAGAAGCTTTTTTAGGTGTTGCAGCATATTCATGTTAGGGGATTAAGCGAAGAACGAATCTTGTTCTAGTTCTATTCGATTATGTGCATGATAATTTATGTTGGTATATTATTATTATTATTATTATTGAATGGTGACACTAACGTGTTGGTTTTAAATAATTTTGGTTTTAAAAGGACCTGCAACGATTCCAAATTGTAGATTTGACTTCGTTTGACTTTGGTTAAAATATACTTCCTTTGGTTTGGTTATTGAAATTTGCTCTTAGTTTATTTGAAAGGTTTTGAAAATATTTCCCATTGTGTGTATTTGATAAATGTCTTAGCCGTTATAACGATGGCGATAGTGTATTAGTTATTTCTTATTTTAAAAGGGACAAAACAGGTATTTCAAAACACGGGAAATTTCAAGGGTGTTACACATCAATTTCCCATACCAGCGCACTCTTTAATCTCTTGTGCATATTTCTAATAAGATAAAAATAAATATGATAGATGGCGTATGAGAAACAACAATCCCTAGCAAAAAAATAAATATAAAAGCCAGTCAATCATCGGAAACCTGTACGCAATGATGTTCTCGCATATTCGATTCGAAGAAGTATGCCATTTCATAATTTTCATTCCCAAGTCAGAAAATAAATAAAGAATTGTCGTTATTTGCAATGACAAACCCCATCTGCAAAAAATATTTAGTTAGCAAAATGTTGATACCAAGCCCTGACTTAGGCCATAGTCTGCCTTGCAAAGCCTACAAACATACCCTATAAATCGCATGTCTACAAACCTTAGGTGTTGATGCATATATATACACAACCTTATTCAAATCTGTATGTAAAAAAAAATGAAAAAGAAAGAAAAAAAAAAGACACAATCCACACCTTCTACTGGCGACTGCTATCACAAACTAATAAATGTGTTTTATGTCATTTTGGATCACCATTAATATTCAATTTATGTCAAAATAACCACATGCAATTGACAGTATTCCCCCTATAGGCCTAGGTTTCACTGTTTATGTCCCTGTTTCAATTAAAGCACCATATTTAACACGCATTGAAGCATTCCAATTAGGGATGAAAACAGCTTAGCTTGTTTGTGATTTTTGGGAATTGGGGAAACATAATGACATGGTTAGACCATACTTTGGGCTAGGTTTGAAGAATCCACGATTGGATCATGTTTGCATGGGAGACGAAAGCGGTGGTGGTCTAGTTGGTGTGATGGGTTTGGCCTCGAATAGGGGCAAGACTTTTAGGAGATTTGGGGCCTACCTAGGACAATGGGTTAGGAGCTGATGATGGGCTGAGCATGGCGTTGTGCTCAATAAGGTTTGCCTAGGGTGCTTACCTTGCAAGTTGCTGGTGTTGGGTGCTCTGTAAGGTAGCTATGGCAGACTACCTTTAGCTTGGTCGTGGCCCCCTAACAAACCCTGCTAAACCAGTTTGGTGCGCGGTAGGGATATCGGGAGGGGTATGTTGAGGGTGTGCAGTATGGTTTGATTTTGGAACAAAAGATGATGGACGAAGTTCAAAAATTCATAGTCAGTAGTGATAGAGTATAAAACATATTCCTGGGCCTCAACCATCAGCTTAAGCTGATAGAGTATAAAACATATTCCTGGGCCTCAACCATCAGCTTAATCATTGTTATAGTCCAATTTTTTCCACATGTGACCGTTTGTGAAAGAACATAATCCTTAAAAAATTGACCGAGTAACCTCTGTAGTATTGACCAAGTTTCCCCTATAACAATGATTGAGTAACCCCTGTAATACTGATCGAGCTTTTCCAAACCGGTATAATATTGGTGAAGTAATATTTGTAATACTTATCGAGATGAGTACCCCTATAACAGTAGCTAAGTAACCATCTAGAATGAGACTGGAATTTGTGAATTACCAATTGTAATAAAAGTAGTCTACCAATCAAAAAGTAATTACGGAGTAAAAAAAAAAACCAGTGCTCGTACCTAAAAAAGGACCCACTTCCGTACTGAAGCAGGGACAAGTAGTAGCAAATTAACCTTTACACGTAGCCTTCCTCTGAAATTCTCTTCTTTAAATTAGAACCCTCTATCGGCTCCTCTGCTCCATCAAACAAGCATAGCCATTTTTCTCAAAGTCTCTCTCTTTCTCTCTCTTCACAAGTTGATTTCTCTCTCTACAAATATTAATTATTTGTGTAGCCTACATATATATGAGAGAAAGTTCTCGGAGAGAAATTATACTAGTACGATGCAGCACAGTCCAGTGTACAGCCCTGCAGTGGTTCATCACCAGCACCACTCCGACGCATCTCGACCGTCCCTTGGTTTTCCTCTCGGAACTGCTTTGTTATTGCTCGTCATCTTTAGTTTAAGTGGTATTTTCTCCTGCTGTTATCATTGGGATAAGTTTCGATCTCTTCGTCAATCTTATGTTGATGATCTTGATCTCGAGGCTGCTAATCACGACACTGCTAAACCCAATAACCCTAATTTCTTCGTAAGTTTTTGTTTTCTTACCATTTCTCCATTCTTTTATTGCGGGATTCAGCCCTCATGCTATAAATAAACCTCACCTATAGTGTCAAACATTTCTCAAAAATAATACTACTTGGTATAAATAATTTAATTGCAAATCATTATGCTTTATACTTTGCATTATTCCGTGCTCCATTTTCTCAAGGATTAGGGGTGTGCTATGGGCCTCCAATCCTTTTAATTTCTTGATAATTTATTTATTTTATTTACTAATTTACTGTATTATATAGCTATACCAAGTATTTAAAAATATAAACTATTCCATATTTATCTTGATTCTTGTATTACCAAGTTAAAATGAAATGTGGCAAAAGTAACTTTTGTTCGTGTTCGAGACTTATGCTATTTTAGTCGTTAAAAATGATTTAATTTTATATTACGTTTTAGATAATTATCGTTAGTGGTGATATAAAATAAGTAAATCGATGAATATGAATGGCACCAGAGAATAGCAAAGGGACCCCACAAGAGTTGACACACTCAGTGATAGCTGGCTTTATCAAATACTTTTTTTTTTCTCCTTAAATTACGTCTTCAAAAATTGATGAAGAAGATACTCACGTTTCTTTCTTTTAAGGCTTCTTTTTCACTAAAATTTCAATCTATTGTCCCATTTGTAGTTGAGTGAAAGGGAATAGCATTAGTTATTATTGATGGCTAAAATAATTAATCCAATTCTGATTTGTTATACAGAATGTTTCTGGAAAAGTTTTAATAGTATTCTGTTTCCACACACAACTAACACTAGTAGAGTAAAAGAATCGGGTAATTTTTACTGCTATTAGATCAAATTTTTTTTTTTTTTTTCTTTTTTTTTTTTACAGGGAGCAATTTTATTTATTGAAAGATAAACGCAGTAAATATTGACTTGGATAAATTATTGCTCAATAAATGGTTGGAACATTTTTCTTTCATTTTTTGTCTTTTTCTTTATAACATATGCCTAGTAGTTTGAAAAGGTTAATGGATTTTGTTCTATATATATATATATATATACATATATTTGAAATTTTATACCAGTACTTCATATGTTTTTTTTTTTTTTTTTTTTTTTTAATATTAGCTTTAATAGTATGATATGTTAATCTTATTTTGACTGGGGAAATAGAATGTATTCATGGTTACAAATACTTTTCGCTTCTTATATTAATAGCAACAGTTACATTGTTTGTATGTATGTTGATCGATTCATTTTGTTGAAAATGCAGAAACAACAACAAAACGAAAGCTTACCGGTGATAATGCCAGGTGACAACATAGCAAAGTTCATAGCGTTACCATGCCCATGTGAACCACCTCGTCTAGAGAAACAAGCTCCAATTCCAACTCCTAACAAACCTCCTAAGCCGCCACGTTTCCCTGTTCCTTTGTACTAAATCTATTATTAATCACTAGTTTAATTTTTTAATTACACAAAACTATTTGACAAATTGGGTCACAAAATCTGTTATAATCTTCTAGCAATACTAGTTAGTACGTACTTTGTATATAGTGTTTAGACATTACTCATATATTATTACACCAATTTTTGATGTATTTTTTTCTCCTCCAATTTGTTAATTTATTAATATAGTTGGTTGGTTATATGATTTTTATATGATTCAATCAGAATCTTGATGTTTTCTGTTGCATTTGTTGTTTATTACCCTGCGTCATGTTAGTGTTTTTATGCCTCAATATTCCATATGTTTGTTAGGTACTTGTGACCAAATCGAATAATGTGTATGGGATATGCTTCTCGGAATTATGCAAACATATTGTTATGGATAAAAATGTGTAAGATTTAGTCAACGGTAGTCAATGAAGGTCAAGGACGAAGACTTTCCTCGACGAAGTCATGAGCTCGACGACGCACTACTAGCACCGACGGAAGACGAAGTCAAATAATAACTTCCTATTTTTCGGGAAAAAGATAAAGCAAGGACTTAGTCTAAACTCAGCCAAATCAGTCCGATAGAATTCAAAACAGAAGAAGAATATTTTCAGCAACTAAATCCGAGAATCAAGGGCATGAACTTATCTCCTTGCAACGGCTAGGGCATAACCTAGCAAATCGTCTATATAAGGGTTGCAGCAACAACAAACATGGCATCGATCCCAAGCCTACATCTTACCTCAGAAACTTGTAATTCAATATCATTTTTTGCATAGTGAAAGTTTGGTAGATCCTCATTCTACCCGCGATTTTTACCTTCCTTGGGTTTTCCGCGTCACCAACTCCTTGTGTCATTTATTTTTCTCCTTTATTTCACGTTATATTTTGCTTAGTTGATCCGTAGCCTAGATTTTGATATTCAATCCCACTTAACGAAAATTAGCATAAACAATTTGGCGCCCACCGTGGGGCTACAACTAGGTAAAATAAAAAATTTCTCACCAAGCCTTCAACATGTCAGCCGACGAAATGACCCCAGAACAGCTGAAAGCTGCCTATGAGAAAGTTCAAGCCGATCTCGAGGCTGCTAGGGAATCTAACGAGCGTCTCAGCAAAGAAAAAGAAGCGTCAGACTCCGATGCCGCTGCCCTCCGCCAACAACTGGAATCCGCCCAAAGCAACCGTCGCCGCCGACCGGGGCAGCTAGACCTGATCCCCAGAATGCCGTCTTTCGATGTCATCGAGTCCCCCCATGATACTGATACTGAAACTAGTGGCGAAGAAATGGACGTGGACCCTCCCATTAGAAATCCTGGGCAAGGGAGCATCCGGACTCCAGGTGACGACCAAGGTAACCCGCAACCTGATCGAACTGAAATCCTACTCCAAAGGTTGGTTTCCCTAGAAAAGCAGAACGCCCGGGTCCTGTCAATGATGAAAAAGATGCCCGGCGTGCCAATCCCCGTCCAGCGAGAAGCCCCGGGTGGATTTGCAGCTACCCCTTTCTGTGACGAGTTGGCCTTGGCCCGAATCCCAAGGAGATTGTCGCTCCCGACGTTTACGTCGCTATATGATGGAATGACCTGTCCAGAGCAGCATGTCGAGTATTACAAGCAGCGAATGTGGCAAGCTTCTATACCGTTCGAGTGCTGGGAGGCATGCATGTGCAAATCATTTGGCGCGACGCTGACAGGCCCCGCCCTCAAGTGGCTCGGCAAGCTTGAACCAGGTAGTATAACTAGTTTTGCTATGTTAGTTAACAAATTCTACTCCCATTTTGAGAGCAGCAGGCAGTTCGACAAGCAGACAAGCGATCTCTATCGGATCGTCCAGGGTCCTAAAGAGACCATCAGAACCTATTGGTCCCGGTTCAATAAAGAGAAAGTCTCGATCAAGAATGTCGACAACAAGACTGCCATTGAAGCCTTCCTCCGCGGACTGCATACGGACTCGGATCTGTATAAAGATATGATCAAGTATCCATGCTCGACGTTCGAAGAGGTCAGGACCCGAGCCGTGGCTCAAATGCGCTTCGACGAAGATATCGCCAATCGCAGTTCCTACCCAGGTTCCAAAAGTTCGTCTGATCGAAAGGCCGCCAGCAACACCCGAGGGTCGTGGCGACATCAGCCTTACGAGGCGACAGGTAAATCACGCTCTGTTAATGCTGTGCAGGTAGAGGATATTCTCGACGCTCCCCAGTATCCCGATATATCGGAGTATGGCTTTGACGTGAATATCGTAGCGGTAGTGAAGGAATTGGAGCCTCTGGGAAGCAAAGTCCGCTGGCCGTCGAAGAGCAACAAGCCAGAATTAGAGAAAGATATGAGCAAATGGTGCGAGTTCCATAGTGATCATGGCCATAAGACGGAAGACTGCTATGCCCTGCGGAGAGAAGTCGCCTTCCAGCTGAAGAGAGGCAACCTCAAGCATCTGTTGGGAAAAAAGAAAAGCAGTGACGCAGGCCGCCGTGAGCCAGAAAAGACGACGGCATCCGGGCCCCCCAAGCCCCCTGTACCCAAGGTAATAGTTAATGTTATCACTGGTGGTTCCGATATTTGTGGACTAACCTACTCTGCAGCAAAAAGGGTCGCAAAGTCGACAATAGAGAATGCAGTTGTCCCAGACGAGATCAGAGACCCCCTGGAAAAGAAGCTAGAAGCAATGTCGATAACTTTCAACGATGATGACGTCAACAACATCAGCAGGGACCATGAAGATTCTCTGGTAATTTCTTTGCTCGTCGGGAATTGTCTGCTTCGAAGGGTGCTGGTCGACGGAGGAAGCTCCGCAAATATCTTGTTCAGAAGAGCCATGGAAGATATGGGGTTGAAAGATAGCGACATCACCAGAAGGTCGACAACTCTGGTCGGTTTTAGTGGGGAAAGCATGTCAACTCTCGGAGATATAACCCTCCCAACCTTTGCAGGAGGCCTAAACCCTCAGACCAAATTCAATATCGTAGATTGCCCATCGGCCTATAATGCTATATTGGGACGTCCCTGGATCCACCGATTAAAAGCCATACCTTCCACGTACCACCAATCAATCAAATTTCCTACCCCGTAAGGAGTCCAAGAAATTAAAGGAGAGCCCCGCGAAGCCAAACACTGCTACAAAACGACCCTTAAACCATCCATGAGAACCGCATAGCAATTACAGCATGGCCCGACACCAGACAATCCCAACGACCTCGAAATCGACGAAATACCCTTAGACCCTGATGTGCCTGATCAAACCTTTCGTGTCGAAGCCAACCTAAAACCTGAACTTAAAAACAGCATATTAGCCTTTCTCCGAGAGAACAAAGATTGTTTCGCCTGGTCGCATAAGGACATGACTGGCATAGACCCAAGCATCATCTCGCATAAGTTGAACGTCGACCCCAATCATAAGCCCGTCAAGAAAAAGCGTCGAAAGTTCGCGCCAGAAAGGAATAAGATCATCAATGACGAGGTGCAGCAGCTGATCGACACAGGAAAAATAAGAGAAGTGAAATACCCAGATTGGCTCGCAAATGGTGTCGTCGTCAGCAAAAAGAATGGCAAGTGGAGGGTGTGCATCGACTTCACCGATCTCAACAAAGCATGCCCTAAGGATCCGTTCCCGCTCCCGCACATCGACGCCATGGTAGATGCAACGGCAGCTCACGAGCTCTTAACATTCATGGACGCCTACTCCGGTTACAACCAGATCTTGATGCATCCCGATGATCAGGAGAAGACGACATTCATGACCGACAAAGGTATATATTGTTATAAAGTTATGCCATTTGGACTAAAAAATGCAGGTTCGACGTACCAGAGACTCGTCAATAAGATGTTCAAAGACCAGCTAGGAGAGACGATGGAGGTATACATCGACGATATGCTGGTGAAATCTAAAAAAGCCAAGGATCACGTCGATCACCTCAAGCAGACCTTCGAGGTATTGCGGAAGTATGGTATGAAACTTAACCCTACTAAATGTTCATTTGGATTGTCTGCTGGAAAATTTTTGGGCTATGTAGTAACACAAAGGGGAATTGAAGCTAGCCCTGACCAAGTCAGAGCCCTAATAAATATTCAATCCCCCCGAAATGTTAAAGAAACCCAAAAATTGACGGGACGAGTGGCAGCATTAAATCGCTTCATCTTTAGGTCGTTAGACAAATGTCACCTATTTTATAAAGTTTTAAGAAAAAATAAAGGTTTTGAATGGACTGACGATCATGAGAAAGCTTT